TGTCACCTCTGAGCTTACGACGGGTTTCTGGGACTGAGAGAAGCATCAGGTCTGCTGACCTCAGAGAGCGCGGTGGGACATATGGCTGCAGAAGATCAGTGAGATAGGATGGGGCAGAACTGTTCAGTGATTTAAAAACATACATGAGAATTTTGAATTGGAGCCGAAGGTGAATGGGTAGCCAGTGCAGGGAGGCCAAAACTGGTGTGATGTGCTCTCTGTAGCCTGTACCAGTTAAAAATCGGGCTGCAGCATTTTGGACCAGTTGTAGACATGCAATGGAGGACTGACTGATTCCAAACAGAAGTGAATTGCAGTAATCAAGCCTAGATATTATGAAGGCGTGGATCACTGTCTCAAGGTTCTTTTTGGAGAGTATAGGTTTCAGCTTAGACAGCCGTCTCAGCTGAAAAAAACAGGATTTGACCATCAAGTTTACGTGACTGTTGAGTTTTAAGGACCGGTCCATTATCACCCCCAGATTAGTGACCTTTTGTTTCTCTAGCGGGGCTAGAGATAAAAGGTCTATGTCATGGTTCATGAGTGAGCCACTGGGATGGAACAGCATGACTTCAGACTTCTTCTCATTGAAGCTTAAGAAGTTTAAAGCCATCCAGTCCTGGATGTCAGCCAGGCAGTCAAGAAGAGGCTGAATAGAGCGTGTGCCTTTGTGCCTCAGGGGGAAGTAAATTTGGCAATCATCGGCGTAGACATGAAAGGGTATGTTGTGTTTGCGGAAGATAGCACCTAGTGGCAGCAGGTATAAAGAAAAGAGAAAAGGACCGAGGATGGACCCCTGCGGATTCCCCCACTGGAGTGCTGTCGATGCCGAACTAAAATCTTTGATATTGACACCGAAGGTTCTGTCAGAGAGGTATGACCCAAACCATTTAAGGGCTGACCCTGTGATGCCCACCCACTGCTCCAGTCTAGAAATGAGGATATTGTGGTCGATGGTGTCAAAAGCAGATGTCAGGTCCAATAGAACAAGCAATACAGAATCACTTGCGTCTGTGGATATGAAAATGTCATTAAAAACCTTCAGTAGAGCAGTTTCAGTGCTATGGAGAGATTTGAAGCCAGATTGGAATAACTCTAGGATAGCGTGATCCCCCCAAAAACTGTTTCAACTGAGACTCCACAATTTTTCCCAGTAGTTTAGAGGTGAATGGGAGTCTGGAGACAGGCCGGAAGTTGGACATGACTGAGGGGTCAAGGTTAGGTTTTTTCAGGAGGGGCTGGACCGCAGCATGTTTAAAAGTTCTTGGCACCACACCTGAGGATAAACTGCTATTCAGAATAGCAAGAATAAAAG